CCCAGTGGCCCTGGGTCCGCTCACAGGCAGCAGAGCTGGGGCAGGCAAGGGCCAGCCTCCCTGATGGGGCCTGCTCCCGGCACCAGCGCAGGGGACTCATCCCTGCCGGGGCTGCTCTCGGCCATCCTCTCCCTCCTGGCCTTTGCAGAGGGCGCAGCAGAGACAGGAGGAGACTGTAGGGAGGAAGGAGGGGAGGACTATGGGGCCACGAGGAGGCTGAGGCGGGCGGTGGGCAATGCTTTGTCCGCAGAGACCCAGGGCGGCACTGTGCCTCACAGCCACCAGCTCAAGGAGGCGAGCTGCCCCGTGAGAGGGCAACCAGCAAATGCCCCGCAAGCCAGCGCGCTTACTGTGCCAGGAGCAAGTCACCAAGAAAACAAGGAAGATCTGAGCACGGGCAGAAAGACCTCTGCGGGGAAAAGCTGTCCTCAGTATGTGCATCCGTTTCTAAAGCTACTGTTTACCTTACCAACACGAGTTCCACAGGAGCGCAACAGATAAAACGATATTAAAGTTCATATGGAAAACGTATGTATGAATAGCCTAGGAAACTATGAAGAGGAAGAAGGGTAATGTGAGGTGAGCCTCTGCCAGAGATTAAAGCGTTGAGACATCAAAAATTTGAAATTTCAGCACTGGAGAAGGAAAACAGCAGAAAAGAAACTCAAGAGATACTGAAACACACAGGTGGCACTTCAAGTCATAAAATCTCATACAGAAAATATTTTTAAAAGATACAAAAATATAAAGAAAAATAGGATTATTCAGTCAATGGGGGGGGGGCAATTAGCCAGCTGCCCATCTGAGGGCAAAGTAAGCTGCATGTCTACTCATTTATATCAGAGTAAGTTCTAGCTGAGTCAAAGATTCTAATGTAAAAAAAGAAACCACAGAAATTCTAGAATAAAGCATGGATTAATATGGTTATAATCTCAGAGAGTCTGTTCAGTTTGCTACAATAAAATGTAAAGCTTCAGAATGGAAAATAAAGTTCTATGAGCTAAAAGGTAAATAACCAGGACAACCAATGTGCAAAATACACGACAGATGATTCACTTCTTTCCACAAGGACAGCAGTAAGACAAAGGTGGACACAATCAGCGAAAGACATAAAAAGCAGACCCAGAAAGACAAACACAATGGCCAGACGTGAAGGACGCTTAAACTCTCCAGTTCAAGCATGAATACCACACCGCTTCAGGTGAGTCTGGCAGAAATGAGAGTGTCCGCCAAGGGCGCGGGAGTACACAGGCGGCCCAGGCTCTGCTGGGGGAGTGTAAACGGCGCAACCTTTCTGCTGCAGCACTTTTCAATTCAGCAATTCCATTTAAGAACTTATCCAATGGACGTACTCCCAAAAGTGCAAAAATGAAAACTACTTACACACGATTTGGTCATGAAAAAGAACGAGCTGATTGGTAGATGCCAGCACAGAAAGATCTCCCAGACACTGTGCCACGGGAAGGAACAGGACACCATGCGCGTGGCAGCGATGCTGGCAAACGCAAGATCTGAGAAGGACGCTCTTGAAACTGTCAACAGGGACCCTGTTCAGAGACGAGGAGTGTGGACAGGGAGCAAGCAGAGGCAGCGACGCCGCATTTTATACCTTTCTGTGTATCTGGATCCACAAGTGAGGCAAAATTGTATGTTGAAATTTCTATTCAGAGAAAATATGGAAATGTCACCAGCCACTTACCCCAAAACATTTGCTCAGATTAATGACTAATTATTCCTTTAGTGGAAGGAACATACTTGAGGCCTGTTATAATGCGTGTGAAATCCCTTAGGCAAATATACCATCATGCCACGTTGTCTACGTGGGATTCCAACGTATTTCTATGAATCAGAATCCTGAATGCTTAACAGAAGAGACTTAAGATGCCAGAAAGAGAGGAGATGCAGAAACAGCCACTGACTTAGAAAAGAAATGTATTGCATTTTTCTAGGTCAGAAGTTAAGCTTTCATGATTTCTCCATAGGGTAAGGAAGGAAGAACATACAAAAGTCAAGAAATTATCTTCATAAGAAGGGAAGGAGTGGCGGGGCAAGTCCTGACCATGAGCAGAGCTGAGGGCAGCAGGACTGACTTCTGTCCCCGTTTTCACTGGTATGTCACACCCAGCACGGGCTCAGGAAGAGGACACGTGGGTCCCAAGAGCAGCACATCTCAGCAGTGCTGCCCAACGCCAGCCCCGGCGGAGTTCCATGTCCCCCACCAGGAGCCGCGGACCCACAAGCCTGTGGCCCCTCTGCATCTAGTGACTGTCCCAGCTGCAAAATGAGCCCATCTGAATCCCCATGAGTGGAAGCTCTTCACAAGGTAACAGGAGAAGACAGCACCAGTTACAAGAGTTTTTTTCTAAAAAGGAAATCTCAGCTGGGCTGCAACAAACAGAAAGAGGAGCAGAGACAAGAACAATGTAAATTCAGTAAAGGTGCCTTTGGAAGGCTGTCAAAATGCAAGGGAAAAGTGAGAAATGGATATTATAAAAAACTTCCAGGACGTCTATCCCTCCATGTTTAACGTAACCATCAGCAAACTCTATGTAGGTCCTGTGCTGCCAGCCCCCCACCACAAACATATTCAGCGAATCTTCCAGAGCCACAGGAAGGGCTACACCACAAGGTCCTGACGCCTCCTGTCCAGATCTACCGCACCTACCTTGCCCTCGTCTCCACTGCCCATTGGCAGGCTGGGGGCTCCTAAGGCCCCAGACCTGTGTCCTGCCAAGACCCACACTCCCTGCCTCTCCTTTCCACAATGCTGGCTCCTCAGACAACTCCACCTGCCGCCCTCCACACTCCACCTGCCTCCTGGACGCTGGGTCCTGACCACTGGCAGCCAGCCCTATGCATTTATGTTCCGTACCAAAGAGAACCTGGGAAGCTGCAGAAAGCCTCAGACGATGGATAAAGCTCCGCTCTTTTCAGAGCAGAACCCGAGCCCCGTTTCTCTTCACGTCTTTCATCAAGAAAAAAGGGCAGTCCTGACCCTCTGTTCAACGCTACAGGCACACACGCTGCTGCGGTCCACAGACAGCCTATGAAATCCAGGCTAGAGCCTATGAAATCCGGACCAGAGCCTATGAAATCCAGGCTAGAGCCTATGAAATCCAGGCTAGAGCCTATGAAATCCGGACCAGAGCGAGTCCCCTTCAAAACTGGTCCCAGCAGATGGTGATGCAGGTCTGCTGAGATGTGTGCTTTGTACAGTGCCAAGCGCTCTAGCTTAAAAATAAAGATGTAGCCGTTTTTGACTTCGCAAAATACAAACTCAACCCCTAAGGAAGGGAGTGAGGAGCATCTACAGATGTTCACTTACAGCACCTCTGCTTTTCTGTTTAATACCCGCCTCGACCTCAGCAACTGCCCAACAGAAGGCTGGCACAATGACAAGGAACACATTTAGAGGACGGGATGAGGGGTAAGTTACCATCAGAGAGAGTATTCTAGACGCAACCTGAAAATCCAATGTCCTAAGGGAGAGGCACTCTATTTAACTCCATTCTATTCAGCATATTTTCCTATAAATAACACTATCCTATACTCACATAGTATCCATGGCTTAAAATCTTTTTTCATTTCCATTTTTATTTGAACTTGACAGCAAAGTCTGACTATGAACTCTGTGCATTTCCTGACAATGAACTACGCACTATTACCTCCAGTTTAGAGGTAAGACTCAGTGAGTATAAATAATCCACAAACAGACCAAGCCCAATTCAAACTCACTGGCTGAGCACTCAGCTCTTTATTTTCTCTCACGGGAATAATAAAAGCCACCTCAGCTCAGCGTTTACTGTGCATCTGCATATGCCCAGCCTGCGCTCGGAGCTGGGATCTAAAGAGCTCCAGCCCATGCCCTGCACAGAAGGGAGAGGCCAGAGGGGTAGGTGTGCGAGCCTGTGGTGGTAGCACATGCTGCCACAGTGGCCACGCCTGCCCAGGGCTCAGAGGACACCAGGGACCAAGCGGCTTCAGAGCAGCAGTCAAGCCTCCGAGCCAGGAGTTGAGAACAAATGAATTCCCCAGGGCTTCCCTGGTGGCGCAGGGGTTGAGAGTCCGCCTGCCGATGCAGGGGACACGGGTTCGTGCCCCGGTCCGGGAAGATCCCACATACCGCGGAGCGGCTGCGCCTGTGAGCCATGGCCGCTGAGCCTGCGCATCCGGAGCCTGTACGCCGCATCGGGAGAGGCCACAGCAGTGAGAGGCCCGCGTACAGCAAAAAAGCAAACAAACGTGGCCATCTGATGAAAGCATCACAAGAAAACATACATACACACACACAACTTAACCTCAGAACGTTTGAGAGCCCTGACCTAGGGTGCTTTAAGCCAGTTCTTCTGCAAAAGCTTTTGGGATTTATAATCCACAAAATTTGTCACCCCTTTACTCATAGCTTCACTGTTTACAGTGTGGGTGTGGAGAAGATGAAGGAAGTTCCCCAGACCTGACGAGGCTTCAAACAGTCTTTACTTAATACCAAAAGAGGAAGATCAAATAACTATGGATATTCTCTTTGTTACATTTTTATTTAATAAAAATGGTTATTATTCATCTTGTGCCTCACCGATACTTTCAACCTGGTCTCTAACATCTTTCCTTTCTAGTGTCACACTCTGGGTGTACACGCAACTTGCAGAGCTTCTAAGACTGCTGCTCAGACTCGGAATCAGACACCATCACCAAGTAGGAGGGCACGTGCCACCAAGACGCTCCCAGGGGGGTCTTCAATGAAAAGTAAAGAGTGGGGGTGGGGGCCGGGGGACATCTTCAGTTTAAAAACACAGAATCTCTCTGGCTTGCACGCGCTCTCTCTCTCTCTCTCTCTCACACACACACACACACACACACACACACACACACACACAGAGGCAAGAGCCTCTCAGTTGCTACTCCTCAAGAGGCAGTAAAACTGTCATCACAGAATTTCACATGTCAATCAAAAGAGCTACTTAAACCCCACCCCATATACCCAAGCCAGGACTGGAACTCACCATCGTCTTCTTTGGTTTTAAGGACCATCTTTTCTGTCACAGTAGGACCCTGAAGGTTGCTGGGTTTTGTTCTTCAAAGGAGAACTCAGAGCAAAGACTCCCTGGGAGGCAGGGCAGGGTGGGGCAGGAATACCTGTGAGCTGTCCAGCCACGGGGACAGCTCAGAGCTGCTTCCTGGACCGACACGGAACTCGTTGGCTGCACTCCTGGACCAATCAGCCTCCAGCCACAGAAGCGTCACTCCCAGTTCGCGGCCACCACCCAGTTCCTGAAGTCAAGCTCAAGTAGCTTCCTAGAGGTTAACCACCTCCTCCCTGGAAGCAGTCTGAGGCTGGAGTCCAACGAGTAACAGTGGCACTTCTGGTCTCAGATTCACCCAAAGCAGCAGACAGAGCTGGCGTTTCTCTCTTCACTTCCCAAGTACCCTCCTAGAATGGAATCACTTAAAAACCCCTGGTTGTCTCACAATGAGATAATAGCGCATTTCCCAAGAGCATGACTAAGAGATCGTAATCATTACAGTATGTTGTGAGGTCACAGGATAAAAGTAGAAGGCAGATTTTAGAGGCCGAAAGAAAAAAAGTCTAAGGGAATTATTCCCATATTTATCCTCGAGATATACTTACCTCAAGAGATGAGTATACAGACAGTCCCCGACTTACAATGGTTGACTTTTTTTTTTTTTTTTTTGCCGCACCTTACAGCATGCAGGATCTTAGTTCCCCGACCAGGGATCAAACCCATGCCCCCTGCAGTGGAAGCACGGAGCCCTAACCACTGGACAATCAGGAAAGTCCCACAATGGTTGACTTATGATTTTTCGAATTTATGATGGTGTGAAAGCAACACGCATTCAGTAGAAACCATACTTTGAATGTTGCTCTTTTCCGGGCTAGCGGTATGCGGTCCAATCCTCTCCTGTGATGCTGGGCAGCAGCAGCAGTGAGCACAGCCCCCAGTGAGCCCATGATCACAAGGGTGAACAACCGATACACTTACAACCATCCTGGACCCAGACAACTGCTCTGTTTCTCAGTGTCAATACAGTATCCAAGCCATTACATGAGAAAATCAACACTTTATTACGAAACAGCCTCTGTGTTAGATGATTCTGCCCCACTGCAGGGGGGCAGAACAAACTGTGTGTGTTCTGAGCCCCTTTAAGGTAGGCTGCACTAAGCTATGATGTTCAGTTTAGGTGTATTAAATGCATTTTTGACCTACAACGTTTTCAACTTATGATGGGTTTATCAGGATGTAACCTGAAAGAAAGCTTCCATGAATATTCATGTAACGTTCTGGGAAAAGTCTTCTTCTCAGCGCAATACCCACGTCAGTCACAATCCCAAGGAGAAAGAGACGCACTCAGAGTGGGAGTCTGGAGAGAAGAGAGGGACTGTCTATAAAAGTGAGGGTGGAGTGTAGGGAGACCACAGGGAGAGACGCAGCAGCAGGGCCAGTGAGAGGGGGCGGCCCTGACCCAGGCCAGGCCTGCTGGGCAGCGGAGTGGGGAGGCCGCTGGCAGGACCGCAGGTAGAGGGTTCAGCCGACCTTAGCTACCTGGTGGGGAGAAGACACCTTGACCTCACTGTCCCCTGGCCCACCAGTCTCCTACGCAATCCAACAGGGCCAGAGGACCAGGGAGAGCACAGAGAGTGGAGCTGTGAGGGCACAACACAAACCAAAGGCCCCAGGAGCCGGCCCTGAAGAATTCAATGGCCTGACATCTGCCTACCAAGTCTCAGCTCCGTGATCGCCACAGTTTCAAGACCCTTCCTGGGACCCTGCGCCTCTCCAGGCTCATCTCCCACCACCGTGCCTGGTTTGTTTCTCTAAGCAAAAGATGCACACATCATATGAAAAGCAAACAGTACCTAAGGCTAAAAACAGAAAACCACGGCTTCCTGCCCAACTCCCCACCCCCCGAATCATGCTTCACAGACGTAGGTCTCTCGACTATTTCTTCTGCTCGTCACCTCCCTGTTTTGAAATAACTAGTTACACTACTTGTTCTCGAGTTTTCACCTCTAGACGTCAACTGCCCGCCATGGAAGATGAAGACTCGCCTTTTACCCCCACCCCCCTCCCACGTGCACACACACATACACACGCCCACTCAGTATAATTACACAAACATTTCTGGTTAAATCAGTATTTAGTATTCCCATAAACACTGCTCACAACTCAGCTATATAATGTACTATAATTAAAATAACCACAGAATGGACTAAGTGTCCTTTGTTTGTTTCTGTTTGCTCGTGCCAGACTCTCTACCAAGCTATGCAACCGTCAAGACTGTCAAACGCACCGAGCGGTCTGTTTTCTGAGATGGCCTCCAGAAACCTCCACGCTCCCACTCAGCCTGGTCTTGTGGCTCTTGAGGCCCGCGTTCGGGGCACCACCCCGAGCACTCCCCCGGACATTTCCCACCACTGGACCTGAGTCTCTGATCCCATGTTTTTTTTCTTTCTTGGATTACTTGCTCATTTTGATGGAGCACGTTCTCTAACAACTAACAGAGAGAGGCTGTGGAGGGGTGGGTTTTCATGGTCATTGTTGTGAATTTTGCATGTCTCTTCTCTCACACCTGACAGTCTGGCTGGGTGTGGCATTCTAAGTGAAGTCATGTTTCCTCAGCATAGTGGAGGCATCCACTCCCTGTTTCCTCTTCCTGTATTGCTGGTAGTGATGGTACCATTCTGATTCCCAATATTTTGTATGAGACCTTTTTCCCCTCTCAGGAAGCTTTTAGGACCTTATTTCTACACTCAGTATTGTGAAATTTCATACGTTATGTTAGCCACCAGATAGAACCTATGTCTGAAGTCTTATACTCTTTAATAAATTCCTGTCCTTTGTTTTTTTCCAGTTCTTGTTATTTGGAATTTCTATTAGTTAGACACTGGACCTCCATTGTGAATCCTTTAACTATTCTTATCTTTTCACTCCTACTTTTCCTCTCCTTTTTGAGCTGCTTTCTAGGAAATACTGTTGCAATGGCCCGAACGTTTGTGTCCCACCCACCCCAACTCATATGTTGAAACCCTAATGTGATGGTGTTTGGAGGTGGAGCCTCTGGGAGGTGATTAGGTCATGAGGGTGAAGCCACCTTGATGGGATAAGTGCCCTTGTAAGAAGAGGCCAGAGAGTTAACTAGCTCTCTCTTTCTGCCATGTGAGGACACAGCGAGAAGACAGACCTCTGTAAACCAGGAAGAGGGCCCTTACCAAGAACCTAAACAGGCCAGCACTGAGATCTTAGACTTTCAGCCTCCACAACTGTGAGAAATAAACATTTGTTGTTTAAGCCACCCAGCCTGTGGTACTTTGTTATAGCAGCCTGAGCTAAGACGATTCTCTGCTTTATCTTCCAACCTATCTACTGAATGTTCTATTTTTGCTATTTTTAATTTGCAAGAACTCACTCTTAATCTCTGAATATTCCTTTTTGATAGCAACCTGTTCTTGTTTCAGTAATATAATTTCTGAGACTCTTAAGTATATAGTTATTTTTACATATAAATTTATTTATTTTATCTTATTTATTTTTGGCTGCATTGGGTCTTTGCTGCTGCATGTGGGCTTTCTCTAGTTGTGGTGAGCGGGGCTACTCTTCATTGCGGTGAAGAAACCCCCAAAACAGACAAGTAAAACCTGCTGGGATTGTGATTTTCAGTGGCAAATCTACATTGAATCTGTAGGTCCTCTGGGAAAACTGACATCTGAGTGTGCTGGGTCCTGAGTGCACTTTCTCTCTCCATGGATTTAGGTCCTCTTTCAAGTCTTTCAATAAAATTTTAGAATTTTTTTCCACTAAACTCTTGCACATTGTTGATAGATTTATCACCAGGTATTTAATTACTGTTGGTTGCTAATATATTGGAATGCATTTGTGCTTTATATGTTGACTTTGTACACAGCAGCCTTGTCAACCTCTGTGAATGATTCTAACAATTTATCTTTAGGTTTTTTTTACCTTTTCTATATGGACAGTCAATCCACCTGTGAGATAATCGTTTCCTTTTTTTCCTCTTTACAATCCTTGTGCCCTTTTTCTTGCCCCATTTCCCTGGCTAGAGCGTTCGGGCCCAATTCTCCTGAGGCTCCGTGGCTGAGAAAGATTGGGCTAGAAAACCCTGCAGCACAGCATCAGTGAGGTTGCTGAGCGTGGACACCCTTCATTTCTTCGTCATCTTAAAGGAAAAGTTTTCTACATTCCTCCACAGAATATAACATTTACTCTAAGTTGTAAATACCTTTTATCATGTTAAAAAAAGATTCCTTCTCTTTCTAGTTTGTCAAGAGATTTTTTTCAGTTATGGGTGGCTGTTCAGTTCTTTTAGTAATTTTCTTGCAGGTACACATGTGATATTGTTCCAAGAATATACAACCAAGTCGTGAACTAGTCTAGCCCTGCACTGTCACGTGTGGTAACCACTACTGAGTTCTTCAAGTATGTTCTAAGTGTAACACACACCCTGGAGTTTGAAACCTTAGCACCAAAAAAATGCAAAGTATCTTAATTATTATATTGATTATATGTTGAAATGATAATGTTTTAGATATATTGGGTTAAATAAAATATACTATTAAGGTTATTTTTACCATTTATCTTTTAGCTGTTTAATGCGGCTACTAGAAAATTTTAAATTACGTATTTGGCCCACACTATGTTTTTTTGGACAGCATTGGCTAGACACACCAATGTGTGCGTGCAAATTTAGTCTATAATAATAGCTAACATGTACTGTGTCTACTAGGTGTCTGCACTGTTTTAAGCACTTTTACAATAACCCTACTAAGTGGGAAAAATTTCTCCATTTCCTAGATGAAAAAACTAAAAGACATGGAGAGAGTAAGCAAATAGCTAGTGAGCCGTGGAGCCAGACTATAACCCAAGCAGCTGACTCCTCAGCTCGCGCTTTTAGTCACTACCTTGTACTGATCAGCAGGGAAAGGATGTGCTCTTCAACAAATGGTGATGACAACTGACTATTCAGAAAACATTTAGGTTCCCTTTGCCATTCTATACTTAAAAAAACAAACAAAAAACCTCCAGATGGATTATAGGTCAAAGTGTGTCTTATATATGTATATGCACTTTGACCTATAATCCATCTGGAGGTTTTTGTTTTCTTTAAGTATAGAATGACAAATATAAGTATGTAAATATAAAAAGTATATATTATATATACCTATATATGTACACATATGTACATATGTACACTTTTAAGTGAATTTTTTTCTCATTTTATT